TTTCATTTTTCTTTGTGTCTGAGTAATATTCCATGGGAGATACACATACACACACATATATACACATGTATGCACATACATACATACATATATACATACATACGTATAGATGGATAGCTATAGATAATCTTCATCCATTCATTGGTTGTTAGGTAACTCAGCTGATTCTCCCATTTGGCTATGTGAGCAGAGCTGCAGTAAACATGAGCTTGTAAATATCTCTCTTGTATACTGATTTACCCTCCTTCAAATATATGCCCAGTAGTGACATGTCAACCCTAGGCAGGTCCACTTCTGAAGGTTTGGATTTCCTTTGTGGTTGTAACAATTTACATTTATACTCACAATGTTTCTTTTTTCCCCCACACTCTCCACAGCAAATGTAATTTGTTTTCTTGATGATTGCCATTCAGATTGGTATAGTTTTCATTTGTATTTCCTTTGTGGCTAACAATACTGCACATATATCTATTTGCCATTTGTATTTCTTTTTCTAAGAACTCTCAGGTCAATTCTTTACCCATTTATTAATTGGGCTATTTGTTCTGTTAATGTTTAACTTTTGAACACTTGTTATTGATTGAAATCTGTTAGTTATCTTTTGGTTCTGACAATTGTTTTATTGTGCAGAAACAATTTTATTTGATATAGTCCAACATGATGATTCTTGTTCTTATTATCTGAGCTTAGAAAACAATTACCTCTGCCTCTATCTTCATTTTACCTATATTTTTCTGTGGTAATTTTAAAGTTTCAAATCTGACATTAAAATATTTGACATTAAAATATTTGGGGTTGATTTTTATACAGGATGAGAAATAAAGTTGGTTTCCATTTCCTACATACAGATAACTAGTTTTCCAAGCCCCTTGAAAATGCCTTTTCTTGCAATACATTCTTATCTCCTTTATCAAAGATTAGATAACTAGCTGTGTAACTTTGTTTCTAAAGCTTCTAGTCTGGCACATTGGTCTTTGTGTCTGTTTATAATATCATGCTGGCTTTGGTATTATAATACATCCAGAATTATTAGTTTTACTCAGGAGTAATTTTTCTATTTTTGGATCTTTTATACTTCATTATGAATATTAGTATTGATTTTTCTGCTTCTGTGATTGAGATTTTGATAAGCATTGCATTGAATTGGTAGGTCATTTTCAGTAATATGGCCATCTTAAAAATATTAATTCTACCAATCCAAGAATATGGAAGGCCTTTCCATCTTCCGGTGTCGTCTTTGAACTCCTACATTAAAGTTTTATAGTTTTGGGTTTTTTCCAAAGGACTTTTACCTGTTGGGTAACGTTTATTCCCAGGGTTTTGTCGTTGTTGTTCTGTTTCGGTTGTCTTTTTTATTTTTGAAGCTGCTGTGAATGGGACAGTTTCCCTGATTTCTTTCTTAGCTTACTTGTTGTTGATACTGGGAAAAGCTACTGCTTTTTGCATATTGATTTTATATCCTGCTATATTTTACAAGGTATGTATCAGATTCAGGAATTGTTTGGAAGAGTCTTTAGGGTCTTTTACATATAGAATTAGATCATGTGGAAATGGGGCTAACTTGACTTCTTCCATATTTGAATCTTCTTAATTTCTTTGTTTGCCTTATGTTCTGGCCAAGAATTATAGAACCATATTAAATAAAAGCAGAGAGTGAACATCCTTGTCTCATTCCTGACTTGAATTGATTTCAGTATTTCCCTGTTTAGTATGATATTGTCCAGAGATTTGTTATCTATGCCTTTTCTATGCTGAGGCCGAGTTCCTCCATTCCTAGATTCTTCAGAGACTTTATCATAAAAGGATATTGGATTTAATCATAAGCTTTTATTGCACCATTTAAGATGATGGTGTGATTTTTTTTGTACTTCATTCCATTTATGTCCTGTATTACATTTATTGATTTATGTATGTTAAACAATTCTTATATCTCAGAATGAAATCAACTTAATCATAAGTATGTGAACTTTTTAATGTGTGCTAGATTTACTTTGAAAGAATTTTATTGAGAATTTTTGCATGTATGTTTATCAAAGAGATTTATCTCTAGTTCTCTGATTTTGTTTGTCTGGTTTGTCTTTGATTTGGAAAACAATGTAATACTGGCTTCAGAGAAGGAGTTCGGTGGTGTTCCTTCCTCTTCTATTCCATGGAAAATGTTCAGAGTATTAAAGGTCTGATAGAATTCAGCAATGAATTCATTGGTTCTGGGCTTTCCTTTCTTGGGAGATACTATTGTTTCACTGCTCATTATAGATTTGTTTCATTGGCATATACCATCTTAAATAAATTTTGAAGGAACAAATGCATCTAGAAATGCATCCAGGCTTTTTTCTGTTTTCCAGCTTAACTGAATATAGGTTTTCAAAACATTTTCATAAGACCCTCTGGCATCCATTGGTATTTGTTGTGATAGACTTTTTCATTTCTAATTTTATTCATTTCTGTCATTTCTTTCCTCCTTTTGTCAGATTTGCTGGGGGTTTGTAGATCTTATTATCATTTCAAAGAACTGAGTTTTTGCTTCATTGATACTTTGTATAGATTTTAGTGTCCATTTTATGTATTTCTTTATTATTTTTCCTATCTGCTAATTTGAGATTTGGCTCATCATTTTTCTAGCAGCATCGCTAGGCCTTTTATGAGACCCCAGTTTTCTTTCTTTCCCCTCAGTTACGAAGGACAGCTTGCTTTTCTGGATATACAAATCTAGGTTGACGATTTTAGCCTTGCGTATGATTCTGCCATTTTTACCTAGAATGAGACCCTGCCGCAGGGTCTGGCTCCATCCTAGGCCTGTCCCTGGCACCCCAGCCCCTCTCCACGTGGCGGCTTCTTTTGCTGTGATCCGCAGCCCTGTTCACACCACTGCCGCTTGCTGGAGATGCCTCCATTCTGTCTGCCTCCATTCTTCACTCATTCATTTTGTAAAACTAAGTTATGACTGTCTCCCCACAAAGAGGTCAGAGCAGGAGAACTGGATGAGGCCACATTTATATAGCACTTTTCTGTAGCCAGCCAGATGATCCTGGATATCCTACAACACACTGTTGGGTTGATGTGAAAGCAGTAACTCCAGGATGAGCCTCCTCTCAGGCAGAACTTTCACCGGCAAGCCCTTGTCTTCAACCAGAACCACCCTGGCTCAATTACAGTTTCTCCTTTCAAGGGTCTAAATTCCTTTCTCTACAGAAACAGACATAACTATGGCAACTGATTTATTTTCATTTATAATAAGAAATCTTTTTTACTTTCTCCATTAATACGTGTAAATTATTTCCTCATAGCATGAGATGCCATGGCATATCAAAACCTGTAACTACTGTCCGAGCATTTCCCATGAGGATAGACTTTCAGAATTGGGACCAGCCCTAGTGCATCAGTGAGAGAGCTCCAGAGCACAGTAACACACGTACATGGAGACGCAGAGGAGACTCATTCGAGACACTGAGGCACTCCACTATGGAGGTGGGAAGTCTCCATCTGCCATCGCAAGCTGGTGATGTAGCAAAGTGTGATTGCAATTCAGTCTGAGTATGAAACAGTGGTACCTGGGTTGTGTGGAAACTGAGTGGGTTCCAAACTCGGAAGGCAGGCACCGGGGCTCCAAGGTCTGAGGAGCAAAGAGCGCAGCTGAGAGAGAAGGAACGCTTCCCCTTCCCTCCATCTTCAGTCTCGTCAAGCTGCCCTCCATGCCTGTGATAGCTACCCACCTTCATGAAGGCAGGTCTTCTGTTGTTAGCCTATTAACCCAGATGCTAATTGATCTTTTCTGGAAACACCCTTGCCAGACTCAGCCAGAAATAATGCTTTACTAACTATCTGGGCATCCCATGGGCCAATCAAGTTGATGAATATCTTTTCCTTAAAATTTTTTCTTTAAAATATCCTGCGTTAAGTACTCTGTCATGTCTTCAACCCCATCATGTGCTCATAAGGCATTTCTTCTGTTTTCCTGTTGGTTTCAACCCACCTTGCAGAATAATACACAAGCATGCTGCTAAGTTCACCTTTTCCCACATGGAGGCAAGGTTTGTCATTTCTTAGCCTGCCCTCACCCAGAAAAACCCCTTCACCCCATCCTACACCACAATGCTGAGCAAAAGAAGAAATAGCTTGGTGGTTTCTTAGATAGGCTTGGCATACGATTTCTTTATTAGAAACTGAACAGATGATGTGATCCATAGGTCTTATCTCAAAGCAACAGGTTTTCAGAATAATTTCATTACCATAGTTAATATTATAAATGACTACACCTAATACTGTAGAATTATTCTATTGAAAAGACCACAGTGGACCATTTTTTTAGCTGATAGGGAGCATGTATAGATGTGTACCTGTATCAGTATGGGCTGGGGTATATATTATTACTTGTTTCATTGTACAGTTGGAGGAAGACAATGCAAACGCCTAGAGTGGGAACGTTAGAGTAGGAACGTGGTGGCAGCAAGGTTGCCACAGCCCACTCCCCAGATCTTTCCGGAAAAGAACCCCCTCCCCAACTCTACTGCGGGATCTCACTACAAGAGTGACATGGCCCCTTGGAGGGAACAGGACGGGTCCTAAACCCCAGAAAATTCTGCAGCAGCAGCAGCATATGCTGTAGAACTGTCTCCATTCTCATCTGGCCCAAGGGCCAAAAAGCAGCGCAATGAATACGCGAGGACCTGCCGTCACCAGCGCTCCTGCTCTGGCCCTACAAAATCAAGGGCGGGGACGTGCCGGGCACATCTCTAACGACTAGACATGGCCCTGGACAGGCTGGATCATCATGGAGAGGCCTAACAAGGTAGTCCCAGTGCTGCCGTGGGGCCCCAGGCCGCAGCTTTAGGTCCTCTGAAGGTCTGGTGTCTTTGTGGTAGTTCAGACATGTATTTCCGGTACGCATTTGTGTCCTCCCCCATATCAACCTTGGTCGCTGATAGGCATAACTATGTAAAAGGCGTGTTACTGTACAGAATGAGAATGACATTTCTGTGATTAATTCTCCTTTTGAACAGCTGGCTGTCCCAACTCCTTGATTAAAGAGCTCCATCACTTCAGGATTCTGGGAGAAGAGCAGGTGAGTCAGCCTCTCAGAGGCCACATCGTGGTGCTATGAAAGACAGACGCTAATGACACAGTGTGGGCTCTCCCTGGGGAGGCCGAGTGTGGCTCCTGACCCACAGCGCCCTGAAAGGGGGACGGAAACCTTGCTGGAGATCCGTGTGAGGACACTGTTTTCCTCTTCTATCCATCAGACCTGACAGGTTATTAATTGGTACATCTGCTCTCTGCCAGAGCATTTCATCTCAACACGCAGGCAGTAAGCAGGCGCTGTGTGGTGGCAGAGGAGAAAACAAATAAATGCAGACGAGATATGTGTGTGGGCCAGTCACAGCACCCCCGACGGGGGTCTGAAGACGGCAGGTCTCAGTACTGTGTGTGCTATCTGCATCTTACAGCAGCCGCTTTCTATGTGGAGGCTACCCTGTGACACACAAAGGATAGCCCAGTTGAGCGGGGCGCCGTGGCTCACGCCTGTCATCCTAGCTACTCAGGAGGCTGAGATCTGAGGATTGTGGTTCAAAGCCAGCCCAGGCAGGAAAGTCCCTGAGATTCTTATCTCCAATAAACCATCAGAAAACTGGAAGTGGCACTGTGGCTCAAGTGGTACAGCTTGAACTGAAGAGCTGAGGGACAGTGCCCAGGCTCAGAGTTCAAACCCCACAACCAAAAAGAAAAGAATAGCCCTATTGAAGTGCAGACTATTTAAATATATTCAGTGTGTGTATATATATGTGTGTGTATGTGTATGTATATGTACATATGTGTGAGTATATACTATATACACATATATATGTATGTATATACACAAATATGTGTATATGTATGTGTATATGGGTATAGGGTAGGGTCTATGTGTTGTGGGGGTTTGGGGTTATGTGTGTGTATGTGCTCATATATATAGTGTTGACTACTTAAAGATATAATTGGCCTTCCATATCCATGGGTACTGCCTTTATAGATTCAACCAACACAGAAAATACTTAGGAAAAATCAATGGAAAATAATATGACAATAAAAAAAAACATCCAAATGTAAAAAAATAATATAAAACAAAAAATGCATTCATCCAAGTGTAAAAAAATGCTACATAATATTTAGCATTTACAGTGTATTAGGCAATAGTAATCTAGAGCAATTTAAGGTATATAGGAGTATTATATGGATTAGATGAAAATAGTATGGCATTTTATATGAAGGGTTTGGCCATCTTAGATTATCTTTGTCAACTCTGACCAAACAATATGCAAATAGAGCCTATAAGGTTTTGGTTTCTGTGGTTTTGTTTGTTTTGGGTGTGTAGTGAAGTTTGACTGTCTAGGTCTAATAAGAGATCAAAAACAGGGAGTACTAGTTAGGGCATATATGAAACTGGAATAATTTTAATGTCCTTGAATTAACAAATTGTTGTTTGCCTCCTCCATTTGTTGATACAGTAAGCTTTTAGAATACCACCCATACAAATACAAGTAAAACCAAAAGTCAGTTATTCACTTTCCCAGCACATCTTATTTAGGAAAACATGTGTCTTTGTCATTTTTCAGTGATAACTGAAGAGGCTTCCCAAAGCCAGGATCTCTGTCATCCTGACATTTCTGTTCAGATAACGGAGCCTTTCTTCTAACTTGTACCAATATTTGCAAATTGTTCGATATTTGTTTTAGAATCACTGGATAATTTGTAGGGAAAAGGCCAACTGTAATCATCTCCTAACATCTGCATAAAAGTCAGGCCACTCTGCATTCTCTTGGAAACTTAATAGAGCCATAATGGAAAGTAATATTACCTTGATTATTTATGCAACATGACGTATCACAGCAATATTGACCTCTGTTCCTCTTGTCTGTCCTTTATTGCGTACCTTCTATGTGCTGTTTATCAGTCATGTTTACAGAAATAGAATGGCATAAAAGTGATCGTCACTCACATTCTGCTTAGGGAAAGCTATGTTACATTCTGTAGACATGTTCAGTACGTATATGCCGGTAGAAGGTGTTCACTGGTAGGGAGGAACATAAAACCAAATGGAGGAATAGGAATGATGAGAGGGAAGGCATATTGTCATATGAAGTGATCAAGGAAGTCTCACCAAGCTGACATGACAAGAGTGAAGACTGAAATGCGTCGGGGAACCCTGTGGGAGGGAGAGGTCCATGGAGGACAAAGAAAGCCGGGAGGCTCCGGACTGTGTGCGGTGCGGCTGCGGGAGGAAGCCAAGCACCCTGCAGAAGAAGAGGGTGGAGAGCTGCAGAGGCCGGGCTGGGATGAGATGGGTGCTTGTCAGACTTCTATTGTTTGGACCAAGTAAGTCCCTGAGACAAACAATTTAAAAGGAGGGAAGATTTATTTTGGCTCAAGAATTTCGGAGGTTGGGGGCCAAGGTCAGCTGTCTCCATGGCTTTGGGCCTATGGTAAAGCCGAAGAAGATGGAAGAGTGTGGTGGACCAGTGGTTCATGGAGGTAGGGAAGCAGAGAGAGAGAGAGAGAGCAAGGCCATGCTGTCCTGCCCCCTCTCCCTGGTGCTTTGTTTCCTCCCTGGTGCCCAGCCTGCTTTGTGGTGCTTACTCTCATTCAGGGTGGGTCTTCCTTCATCTGCTGCCAGTCATCTCTGGAAATACATTCATAGACACCTCCAGAAGTGTCTTCACCAATCTGCTACGTGTTTCCCGAGCCAACCAAGTTAATGATCAAGATGAACAATCCAAGGTGGGAAGAAATTTGGGCAGTTGTTATGAACAAGAAGCCAAAGGAAGTAAACCTAGAAGTGGCCATCCGTGTCCCAGATTCATCCAGTGGGATGAGGATGAGACAGGAGCCCTGGAGCTGACAGCCTGGAGGTCAGGGTGACCTTTGCCATGGGGAAACTGGTGAGGATGGGGGGAGGGCGGGGAGGAGCAGATATACATAGCCACACACATACAGTCAGCTTCTACTTCCTTCCATGCAACAGGAAGCCAGTCCATCACTTAGAGGGAAGATAGAGCATGTGGCTCTTCTGGAGGAAGGACAGGGTCCTAAGTGTGTCACTCGGGAGCATGGAGACTGGATAAGCTTGGGCAGTGGGTAGATTTGTAGAGAGGTCAGTGCTTCCATGTGGGCAGACAGCGTGGGGCGTTAGGATAACCAGCATGGGCTTCCGCCATCCACGGCTGCAAAGCTGGGATGGAGGAAAGCAAGGATGGCTGGATCCCAGAGAAGTAACAGCCCGGCGGTGGGCACCATGTGCCCAGAGCACACTTGGAGGAAACCGGGCTCAGACATAGCCCTGGACAACGCGGCCGGACACTTGAACCTGAAGGCCCGAAAGCCTTCCCATGATGGCCCCACGATGGGCAGCAAGGCAGTCAGGCGAAGCAGGAATGCTGTGGATGGAGCGGAGTGGAGAGCGAGCGAGGAGAGTCGGACATGGCCCGCGTCACCAGGGAGACGACGACAGGGAGACCGAGGCTGAAGAGCTGGACAGGGGGAGCATCGCCAGCCTGGGACCTCAGAGCTGGAGGCAGGGGAAGATGTCCTGCTGCTTGGAGCCACAGAGCAGACCCAGGTGGAAGCCCAGAACATGGAGACCCTACCCCAATACCCCCGGGAAGATAGGAGCCATGGTGAGGGAGGGGGCCACCCCAGAGAGACAGCCCAGGCCAGAGAATGCTTCGATGACTGATGATTTGTATGTCTTGGTAATGGGGGACAGGACCAGGGCTGGGCTGGGGCTCTGGAGAGAAAGCAGGGCACCCCAGTCCTTCCTGGAGCTTGGGGGGGAACATAGGGGCGGAGAGGGCGCAGCCTGCAGGACATACCCAACTAAGTTCTGGCAGATTCTCCAGGAACTTTCATGACTGGATGAAATGACACTTTTATATCAATGTGTGTTTCAGTATCCTCAGACAAAACATTTTTTGCCCCAGTAACTTGTTTTCCTTTTTTCCTTTTGTATAGCAGGAGAATGGGACTCAGCCATGTCTTCGAATTTTCATAAATAAGGTTGCAAAGGGAGTGGCGTACTAAAATGACTCTAATTTTTAATACCGTTTGCACTCCTCCAATGCATCAAAGTAGGAGCAGCATAATACACATTAAACTAAGCACGATGTTCACTTAGAATGTGAATTGCTAAAACCTACAGGTACTGGTTAATTGCTGAATTTATTGCTGATAGCAGGGATGTGTGCCAGCTATTTAGTTTCTTTGAGTGTGATTCCTTTCTGTTTTCATTGACCTTTAATAGGTGTTTTGATTTTTTTTTGAGATCTGGATTACAAATGACTCACTAAATGCTATAAGCCATTATCTTTTGAAATAAAACTTAAACTCTTTGGAATTTAAATAATATATTTACTTTAGCTTTGGAGCCCTTCTCTGATTTGCATTGATAATTCATAGTCATCAAGTCCCTTCGACTCTGCAGCCTAATTTTTCCAGCAAGGAAACAATTGTAGATAGGTAAAATCTTTCCAAAGTCCAAGGTGAGCCCTAAAGAAAACAAGTCACGTGAGAAACCTGGAGATCACACAAGGACTGGAGACCTTACGGAAGAGCAGAATTATGCAACTGAAGACGGGGGGCCTTTCTAGAGCCCGCAGCAGGGAGAGGAGGGGATGTGGTCTGACTCCGGGAAGGCAGACGTGTTTTCATGGCCAAGACTTCTCTGCATAGGCGAGAGCTCAGAGGGGAGAAGACCACTAAGAGATATTCACTGAATAAGTAGAAATACTGTCAGGACTTTGTTCCTCAAAGAAATACCAAGTATGCTGTCCACAGGCTGGGGGAGGGGAGGCTTCATTTTGTGCAGGAAGACCAAACATGTAACAAAACCATGAGGTGCCGCAAGTGCCCTTCTGAAGTTGTGACCCGGAAATGAGGCATTTTGTCCAGCATCAGTCTGTGGAAGAAGACGGAAGAAACGTTACAGAGCCCGGGTTGTGCCAGAGTAGACAGGTGACGAGGGCTGTGGAGAGGCAGTGCTACGGGTTCAGGAATCTGTGTCGGACCAGGAAGTTAGTTCCCCTTGAAGAGGGC